AGCCGCTCCCGGCGCGGCACCGGCATCCCCGCCCTGGTCCCGTCCTAAATCGTTTCGCGCGTTATGCGCTTCGTCTCAACCAAAGGGAGGGGATTTACTCCCAAAAAAGTAGGTGCTGGTGGAATTCGGAATTACATGATTAATAAAAAGACATTTCGGTGGGCAGATTTATTACGCTGCCATGTTAACGAGAAGGAGCTTTTCTAGCTGTGATATTAACGCTTCACAGCTTCACATTCTGTACACAATCCACAAGTACACTTGATAAATTAAAGCAGTAAGAGATCTGAAGACTATAATCTATCATTTTAATGCTTCACTGATAACATACAGGATCAATTTCAATTACCATCTTTTTTTAAAAATTACTCCTAATTTTTGACTCCTATTAGAATCCAGCACACCGTCAAGTACCATACATTAGCTAAAATAAAGCACAACATCTTAGCTTACTGAAAGGATCTAATTCTGAGTTCAGACTAACGTCACCTTTTAACCCACAGTGTTTCCAGGGCCCGCCTGAAGCGTAAACAGCACAAGCAACTACAAGGGGACCTGCACAGGCTCAGCAATTCGCAGACTGGCTTTACCCGCCTCTTTGGCAGATTAAGGGTCTCACAAATCAAGCGTGTGGGAGGATTCAAAAAAGTTGATCTTGCATGCTAATAGTAAAGCACATCTCCAAAACATGAGGATTTAAAAGTATTAACTCTGCCCAACCCCTTGTCACAAGTGAGAGTATTTTAGTGTACTTTTTTAATGTTTCAACTGATGCTTTTAGCCACAAAGTTCTGGATTTGACACTATGACTGCAGGTAGCCTTTATTAACCCACATAGAGCTGAAGATGTCTGTTGCACAACTTGTATCAGAAATTCCACATACCAACAAGGAATCCAGATTTGACTCTGTGAAAGTATCTGTAAGGTACAGATAAAATATTTCACACTACTACAGATAAAAATTATTCTCAGCTGCCATTTAGCTCATATTGACTTAGCAAAAATTGTGGGTTTTAATATATATCTTTTTACAAATTTTCACGTAATTCATAGCTCCAAGTCAGAATGGAATCAGGGCAGTATTACCACACGGGCTGATTTATTACATCAGCAAAAGAGCCAAGCCTTCATTTTGTGGTAACAAAATATTAATTAACAATAACAATACTAAATATATGAGAAAAGTAAATCATGGGCTAAACCATAATACAAAAACATTTGGAAGCAGAATACCCTGAAGACTTGCAATATTACATGTAAATTTCCCTTGATTTTCCTAGGAAACTGCACAAAATGTACAGTGAGCATTAAAAGCTTAATGCATGCATGAACTGAGTAATCGTTTTCTTCTTTCGAAGTTCAGCTTAATTTTTCTACATCTGAGGAACAGGAAAATACAGCCAAATTCCCTCTATAGCTATACAGAGTGCTGCTTAAGAAAAGAGCAACAGGCACTATTTGGCTGCTTGTGCCCTATATGTTAATTACCATTTATTTAATTTCCTAGGATTACAATTCTATAAAAGGTGGCTAAGAAGAACATTTCTGCAGAATTATGATCAATTACAGTTTTTAATGTTTAATATACACAAGGCAACGATCTGACTACATTCACTGAAACCACAAAACGTGTACAGCAGAATCTTCTTTCAGAGGCTGGGTCTGTAAACTGCAGCTGCACACCACTCTTGATTTCAAGTGCAGATTTCTCCTGATTAGGGAGAGGGAAGTTGAAAGTTCATCATTAACCAAAAAACCTCAAACATGCATATCAAACCCAGCCCAAATACCTATCCCCTTCCACAGTCTTCTGCACAGACACACACATATTGCTAAAGTAACAAAACTAACTAGAAAGCACGCCAATTTTATTTTACAAAAAAAAAAAATCTGGAAAAGGAACATAGTTATAAAATACATCATATTTTGTAAACTGTGGTTTAATATTTCATACAGAATCCCAGAAAAAGTGCTTTAATTGAACCTTCAATATATTTTGCCATAATCTTTATGTTAACAGGACTCCTACAAAGGTTCCAGGAAAGAGATACTTATGAAACAGAGAACAAGGGAACATATAAGCCATTACAGAAGATTGGATTAAAATGTACTTACCCAGGCCTCTCAAATATCATACATCTCCATTATGTAGGCTTTAGGCACCAAGCCAATGGTTCCCTTCATTTCTCCTACCCACCAGCCAAATCTATTGTACTCCTAATTGAAAACAATATGCAATATTAACCTTTAGTCTGATATAAATGCAATAGTGTTTTGTATGTAACTCCTTATGGATGCTTTCTCTTATATAGAGTTATAATCATTTCAACTGAAAATTAAAACATTTTATCTTTTTGTTAGAGGCATTCACATGCAGAGTTAGGCAAAGATAGAAGTTAAATTTTAAAAAGGCCAGGCATACTCAGGAAAATGTCTTAATTATGGCCACACTTCACTGTAACACCTACTAAAAATAGCTGACCTCTCCATCCTGTATTCATCACAAATATAAAAATCTTACCTTTGTAACTAAAATCTAATAGCACAATGTTGACATATAAGAATCAACAAGGATTCTTTCAGCATCACAAGGCTAAACTCTTAAGAAACTTACAATCAACTTATTTTAAATACTACTTCGCTCAAATGTGAGGGAACACTATATATCTAATACATAATCTCTTTCTATGGACAAAGTCTACTATTGCTTTAGGCTTGCAGAAAATTCTACGGCAGATCTCATATGTCTGACAGATGACTAATGTACTTTTGTTTGAAATTTGTTTAGGCTTAGTGAGATAAATATGAAACAAAATGAATTATAATAGTTTAAAGAAATAATATCTTCCAAAAGCAATACCAAGTAAGAGTATTGTGGGATCCAAATTTAATTTTTTTCCTATGAGGTAAATATTTTAAGATCAATCCTAACAGCGGTTCAATAAATTGTAACAGCTGAAATTGTGCACACACATATATTGAGTTACAAATGAAGCATTATTAAAACAGAGACCCCATTCAAAATGGAATGATTAGTAAGATAGAAATTACTTTGGAACAAACATGGAAAATACAAAATACACAGATATCTCTGATAAGCAACATCTGCTTCCTGCTATGCTGCTCTTCTGATGAGAAAAGCAAAGGCTGTAGGATTTTGAATTAATGGTCCTACTGAGACGAAGCTATTATTTTGACTGTAGATAAAGTTTTTTGGTTATAAATAGTCAAGTGGAGCTTAAGGGTTAATGGAGTTTCATTAGAGCCTGAGCTATAATGATTTGCTGCTGGCATATTTGGCCTGGTCGAGAGTTCTCTAGGGTGCTATGAGGTGCTTAGTGTACTCAGTTCTCCCTGTACTTAACTACGATGAAGCCCTGTTGATGGCCCACTTTCATGTGGGCCCAGGCTTTTTTTTTTTTTTTTTTGTGCCTTTTGCTTTTTTTTTTTTAACACACTTGCATGCAGGCTCACACACACTTTCATATTTTGTTATTGTGGAAGGCTGAACACCAGTCGTAAATTAAACATTTCTCCCTTCTCTTCACAGTGAGAAAGTGATTTAAAATACTCTGTCCTACCATCCATTAAATACTGCAGTAAGTGTGATTTAAAGAAAATCCACATAAAAAGCAGCAGGAAAACCTTCATTTATAACGTGAACACACAAACTAGAAAGCTGCAAAAATAATTCCATCTTCTTCCACCTTCCACTGCAGAACAGACTGCTGGGGATGGGTCTCATCTGAAAGTCTAGAGGTATCTGAACGCGATCGTCAGTGCAAACTGCTCTCCACAGAAGTTAAGAACCGCTCATAACCTTTCCCATGGGGGTACACATTACACCCTAAATCCTTAAATGCTAAATAACAACCTAACCCTGAGGTTTATAATGTTCCAGATCAGCCTGTTTTTAAAAAAAAAAAATCTATGTATTATCTCACAATACACTGGTTAAATATACAAACTGGATTTCTACACTGAAGTGGGAAATTGCTGAAAGGAGCAGTACTCACGTATACTACTGGAATCTTAGCAATAAATCTCTCCAAGAGAAAGCAACAAAAGATTTTAAGCTGTTACATGGAACTCATGAAGTGACTGACAAGAGTGATTAAGCAAGTTTTGCTAGACATCAGCCAAAAAAGCAAACAATACATGAAATGAGGGAAGTGGCTTAGTTAAACGGTCATTAAATTGCATATGACAAATGGCATAGAAAAAGCCTGTGGACTACGTTATCCATTGAAAATGTTCCACTTAGCAACACTACATGAACTTCGAAATAATTGTTTTTAAAGAAACAATTCAGATACCTCAAATTAAAATTAAAAGCATGCTGCTGTTTTGAAAACTTTCTGGGGTTTGCTACTTACTAATACACCACTTACTGTTCTGGTATTAAGCTAAGTGAGAAGATGAAATGACTGTTGATGTAACAGACTAGTAAACTAATTTAAGGATTCACTGCAACCATTATACCATACAGACAATATTGCAACACAGAAGCTTTTACTTCATGTTACTATTCTTTGCATGGGTCTCAAGAGCAACATGAATCCCAATTAAACTATCTGCAGTCCACAGAAGTCTGAACAAAAATATAATGCAGATACCTGGCTACCAACTTTTAATCCCAGTTTTTAGAATAATTAGATAGAACCCTTTTAAACTGATTAAAGTACAGACATTTCTCTTTAAACTCCTAACTAGTCCTTTCTGTCCTCAGTACCACAAAAGTGTGCTTACTAGTCAAGCAGATAAGCAGTCCCCCCCCAGCCCTTTCTTGAAGTCACATATAAAAACCAAATTGATGTATCGTTTCTATCAACATTATCAATTATAAACTCCTTCATAGCAATATAATTTAATTAATACACTGCTGTTGTGAGGTCCATATGTCTATTACTGCTGCTTAAGATGTGCAGAATCAAAATCTAAAGCCCACATTTGTGGGAAATAATGATTACTATGCAGAAGGATATGAATACAGTTAGGAGTTTTATATGAATTCTTAAGAGTTGGGAAGCATGGTGCTTTTGCATCAGCTTCAGATCTCAGGTACCACTGGGTTTACCATCTGGTATCCCTCAGTGCATTCAGCTCTTAACATCACTGCTAACATAGGCAAGCGACTATACTTCAGAAGGACTGATAAAATAATGAAGAGTCCTTTAATCTACAGGAAACCATTGTAGTCAATTTATAAGAAATATTGCATCCCTTTGTAGGATGTGTAATTATTTTCTATTAATCATGTGCTATAAAGCTACATTATGTGGTTATTCTGTTATCACTAGAAAGAGGCCTGCAGTCAGCTCCTGACAATGTTAGGTAATTACTAACACAAAGCTTCTTTCTCCTTATGTAGAAATGCTATCAAGATCCAGAGGTGCTGTGATGCTCGCTGTATGAAAATAACTCTCTAAAGAAATTCAATAACTGCAAAATGAATTGCTCCAAGGCAAATAGGGGGATAGGAGAGGGGGGCAGGGCCAGATCCAGCTGCCCTGCAATGAGGAGAACGCACAAGTGTGCGGCCGCAGCTCTGCCATGTGACTGGGAGCACATTTGCCATACCAGGCAATGCTAGGCAGGGGCGGGGGGAGGAAGGGGCCACCGCAACCCCTGGAAGACAAGCACCAGGGCAGTGGAATATATTATGCCAAATAATACGAAACAACAACCTTAACAAATGACCAAATGCTTTCCAAGCTACTTCTGTGTTTTCACTGGCTGTAAGAGTGGATATTTTTTTTTCCCCAGCAGAAATTTATTAACCAAAGTGAAGTAATTTCACAGGGCAGCAAGGAACAGGTTATGACTTAACATTTAACATGCTGGCAAAACACTGTCTGTAGAGCATGCTATGATAGCGGGGGGCGGGGGGGGGGATCCCATCAGGGTTCAGGGTTTACAGGCTCCTTAAATGCTCTCAACTGAACACAATGTGAGCAGATGGTTCTCCTTGTCCCCATCCCACCAATTTCACTGCATTGATGTGTGTGTACCTATGACTCCATGAGACACTGATCATAAAAGTTTTTGCACTTGGGGAAAACACAGTAGGTAGAAATACACTACCTGGTTTTTACAGATATCTTTTAAATCCAAGATTTTTGTACTACATAGAAGAGACTTTTTATATGCAAGAAGAGAAAATGTTTATATGCAAGAGGATTGCCAGAACAGTCTCTACCTCTAGAACAGATCCTCTGCATAAATGAGGATCTCCAGATGCTTTGCACCATATTAACTTCTACTGACTTCAGCAAAAGTTGAGAACATCTGGTCCTTGTGCAATTAGTCCCTATTGTTCAATACATATGGTATGTTTTTTGTGTTTGTGGGGTGGTTTTTTTATTTGTTTTGTTTTTTAAAAAGAGTTGCTGCAAATCATCATTGTGTTTCAATGCCTTGAAGAAAACAATGGAGTTGTATTTTAAAAAAACACAACTGAAGTGTGTGAATTCAAGATTTTTCTCCTGCCCTCTTCAGCAGCGCTATAAGTAATATTAACTTATGGGCTGAAGATCTGCAAACTTTAAAACTGAAAAGCAAAACATTATCTATAGCCTCTCCTATCAAGTTAAAGATGTGCGGGAAGCAGGGAGAGATTTTTTTTGAAGAATATCCTGGGGGGCAATTTTGGCAAGATAATATTTTAGAACACCTCTAATTCATCCAGGAGATTCAGACTAGCTAAAAAATTTTAGAACTTCCTTTGGTGTAATTGCTGAATGATACACTATCAACCAGGGACCATTTTTGGCACAGAACAGCATTTTCTCTAAAAAGCAGAAAATGACAAATGTTTTAGATAACTGAATGAGACTTCTTCACAGGTAGTAGAGTTGTTTTAAGAGAGCAATAAAATGGTCATCTTTAAGAATATAAGCCTTAGATTTATTGTATGGTTGCGTTATTAGGTTTTATTTCCTGCAATGACATGAGACAAAATAGACACCAATTAAAGAGTTCCAATATAAATCAGGGTAAGCAGACTGAATTCTGAACCAAAACTGGCCCCTGAAAACACCCTGGAACGACAGAAGGGCCATTTTATTTTCCATTAGATGACACAATGCCAAATTTTTTTCTAATCAGGTAGGTAAATGCTTACATATTATCAGTATGCAAACCAACAGAGCTAGAGTCACTTTGCATTAGTCTATCTTAACTAACCTTCCATTTAAAGGCCTTCGTTCTTATGTTTAGCCATGTATCTTTTTTTTTTTTCCCCTGTAAGGAATATACCTAAACAAGCCAGAAGAAGGAAATGTACAATTTAGTATTGCATTTTAGTTTTGATCAGAAGCATCCCACTGAAATGAATCTCCCAATGCTCCCACTTTCCCCACCTTAGCTCACTTTGCAGAGCCATCAGTCTTAGAGCGCACACACTACATTTCTTTCAGATGAAACTAAAATGGAAGATGCACTTGAACGTGCTCCAACCACTACTGTGTTCTCATTCCACAAAACCAGGCTAGACCTCTTCGGACATCAAACCCCTTTGAAAATGCACGGTGTGGATACCGGGGCCTCAGCACTAAGTGTTTCACTTTGCAAATCTGCTCCTATTGGTACTCCCTGTTTGCTAAGGTAGACATAGGCTGTATGGTCTTGGAAAGAGAAATTACTGTTAAATACGGATCTCAGTATGATCAGTCAGAAAATAGCCTGACAAAAAAAACAGAGGGTTTTAGTATGCCTTTCACATGTTTTTGAAAAATACTGAATAAATACATTTTATGAAGACTATACAGATAATGTACAAAATGCTCGCACTGATTATGAAACAGCTGCACTGTTAAGTTGTACTTTATTTCATAAGCAGTAATCTGAGCTATGGAGATTTCTTTGTTTGTCTCTTCACTGAGCAAAAAATACAAGTTGAGATGTGAGCATTTTAACAGACATTTCTTGTATTGAAACACCAAAAATCTGCCACACTGGAAATGTACAACCACTGAATAAAGGGTAATCTAGATACCAAGTTAACACTCTACTTTCACGGAAAATTCTAGAGCAAAGGGCTAAGTCATAGATGAGATTTCCATGAATCAAATACCAGCGTGAGCAGCATTGTATTGCATTGGCATGTACTGAAATAACAACAGGGAAGGAGAATTCCAGTTTCAGATATAATTTCTGATTTTGAAGTATTATTTGTTGTTTTAATGCAAATATAAATATAAATGAGATGGGAATTAAATGAGCTTAAAAGTTAAGAAATGTCAGTAATTCTACTAATGTGCCTGCTAACATCTAAGTAAATTTCCATTACTACTTGCATTTGGCTGATGAAACTATGGAATTTCCCAACACAAAACATGTACCTAAAGCAAACAAACAAATACTGCAAGTGCCGCACTTGCATAAATTGTGCATACCAAACTTTAAAAAAAAAAAAAAAAAAAAAAGTAGGGCTACCTCCACTCACAGTTGTCTTTGTTTCTGGAAATTGATTTCTTGAGTAGAGCTATGGAAGATTTATAAAAAGGATTGTTATGTCACGGTATGTTTCCCCATTTATCACATGGGCTTGAAAGCAAAGGCAAGCCCATAAATGAGCAGGAGTTAAGAGCAATCATCCTTTTAGAAAACAGGACACCCAAGTATTGCATTTCTAATAGTCAATATTAACTGAGAAGTCAATATTAGCTAAGAAATCTTATTAATGAGTCCCTCTATCAGTAGAGCTATAAAATGTCTTCTACTGCATAGCGGGAGAGGGGTGTATAGTTTTCTGAAAGTTCACATGGTTCATAGCATAAGTTATAAAAGCCACTTGAATATTCAAGAATATTATAAATTAAAACAATAATAGTATGAGTTTATCTGTACAGATACATTGATCAACTAATCTGAAAAGTTAACTATTTTTTTAAATAAACAGTTCTGTTTATTTAAACAGTTCTGTTAATTCTGCTCAGATTAAAAACTCAACTTCTGAAGGAAAGTCTCAAAGGTAGAAAAACCTAGAAGAAAAATCTCGGGGTTTTTTTGTAAGAGCCCATAGGACTGCTGCCGCACAAAAGCCACAACAGACGTAAATATTTAGATAATAGCTAAAATAGTTTCTGAATGCACCTTTAAAACAAGGAAAACATGCTTTTTTTACAGTAATTACACTAGTCAGGCATAGGTATTTGTATTATCAGAGTATAAGCATGCAAATCATGCTCATTGCACTAACATGAATTTTGATGCTCAGTTTAAAGCAAACTATGGGGGATTTGTCTTTGCATAATGCTTAGCTATTTTAGGAAGTAAACATTGCTAAACTGAAACCTTGCTCATTCTTCTAAAAGGCATCCACCTAGAAACTTACCTGTAACATATTGCTCCTCTTACTTTATTTAAATTATATCGATGCCCAAATTTACTAAACTGGTTCATAATTATTTCTGTTGTACTAATGATCTTATTTCTTGGAAACAAAATAGTCTCTTTTCCCCTAATTTCTATAAAGGTATGTGAAAAACGGGGAATATATTGCTTTGGCATAATTATTGCTGGGAGAGACAAATATCTACCTTATCATATTCATCAGAGCTAGCTATACCATTTATATTTCATTGTAAAACAAAGAACTATAACATGTTGCACAAATATGCTCGATATTTTGTTAATGCTTCACCCTTCCTACGATAATACTGCTATACCCGTACTTACTTCCTTATCAGCAAAATGTGATTTTCAAGAGTAATGTTCATACCTGGCTGACATATGATAGAAAGGCAATAAAGCCATAGCTAGGTTCAAGCTGAAGCTGAATTTATGACACCATTTTGGATCTATACACATCGCCTCCTGTCAGTACCTGCATCTCTCATTTTCAACCACTAGATGGTGTGAAAAAATAAAAAAATTGCCAAGGATTCCTGCCAACTGCCACAAAATCCAAGTATTAATGTAGTAGATCAGGAAATATTTTTTGAAGAAAAGTCTTGACCCACTTCAGGATGGTTAGGTTCACTTTTCCTTTGGTTATATTTTCACTTACCAGACAAAGAGCTCGTAAATGATCAGACCTTGAAACTGAATCAAGTGGAGGGTTAAGATGGATAATTCTCTGGCACTCTCCCCTCCAAGGACCCTAAATTCAGAGCTGACAGTAGTGGCCAACACTCATTTTTCTGAAAAAGCTGTAACAATCTTTAAGTGAAACAGGGCTGAATTTTCTGGGCTGTATTTTGGAGTAGAAATCATTCCCAAAGAGAGAGGCTCTATATATCTGGAGCTGCAGCAAGCCCGTTTCAAGGACCGATTACGGATTAATCACGGCATGACCACAAGACAGCTGATGTACAGAGGACAGCTTAAGCTACTGTTTTTCTATTCTACTCCATTTTTTAAATTAAATTTCTCATTCTTTTGGGGAAGGAGTAGCAAATGATTTTTTTCACCTACAAGCTGAAGATTAAGATTTTATTAGTCCCCATACCATACCAGAAAAGCACAACCCACAAAAAGGCCAAACTCGTACAGTGGAATCCGTTTGTTCATGGGCTATTTCGGGGGAGGGAGAGGGGTAAGACATTATTTTAAATTAGTACCATTCTTCAGTACTGTATAACTGCTTGAAATTCTGCCCAATCCAAGAGTGTTATCCGGCCTTTAGTAATGCAATTCAGTTATTAGTTTAAGTGACAATGAAATACCTCAAAAGACATACATGGTCACATTACCGTTAGTAATATATCTTCTATATTTTTATATAGGACTATCTTTCTATCCATAAATCTTAAATTTATTTAAACAGAAGCTGTTACATTTATTATCCAGAAACATTGCAGTTGAAGGTATCACGGAAGATTTAAAGCAATTGTGACAAAACTGAAGAGTTTGAAACTAAGACAAACAGATGCCTTTAGCTTTCATGCACCTACTTGTATATTTCAATGACCTACAATGTCTTTGGCATTAATTATACTGAACGGCAATTACATCTGAGATATATATTCTACATATATTTTAAAAGGTGGGTTTTTTCAATGAGAACTTGAAAAGCTCAGCTTTTTTCTAATATGTAGGG